CAGCTAGCACAGTAAAAACAGTAGTGTGGCTGTGGTGAGGTTGGCAGTAGCTTGCGCTAGCCACCCAAATACAATCCTGCTTGACCCACTGGCATAGCTTGGAGGGGTCAGAAGTGACATTGCTCCCACAAAAAACTGAAAACCTAGGACAGATGCAGAATTTGTTCCCCTGCACATGGCCCCGATGGCCTGACAGGAGTCCTCCTTTCGCCCCTGTCATAAATATAAAGGGAAGGGTAAACCCCTTTGAAATCCCTCCTGGCCAGGGGAAAGCTCCTCTCACCTGTAAAGGGTTAAGAAGCTAAAGGTAACCTCGCTGTCACCTGACCAAACTGACCAATGAGGAGACAAGATACTTTCAAAAGCTGGGAGGAAGGAGAGAAACAAACTTTTAGTAAGTAATCTAGCTAGGTATGTGTTAGATTATGATTTCTTTAAATGGCTGAGAAAAGAATTGTGCTGAATAGAATAACTATTTCTGTCTGTAAAAAGAAAAGGAGTACTTGTGGCACCTTAGAGACTAACCAATTTATTTGAGCATGAGCTTTCGTGAGCTACAGCTCACTTCATCAGTCTGTGTATCTTTTTTGTAACTTAAGGTTTTGCCTAGAGGGGTTCTCTATGTTTTTGAATCTAATTACCCTGTAAGATATCTACCATCCTGATTTTACAGGAGGGATTTCTTTATTTCTATTTACTTCTATTTTTATTAAAAGTCTTCTTGTAAGAAAACTGAATGCTTTTTCATTGTTCTCAGATCCAAGGGTTTGGGTCTGTGGTCACCTATGCAAATTGGTGAGGCTTTTTATCCAACATTTCCCAGGAAAGGGGGGGTGCAAGTGTTGGGAGGATTGTTCATTGTTCTTAAGATCCAAGGGGCTGGGTCTGTAGTCACCTAGGCAAATTGGTGAGGCTTTTTACCAAACCTTGTCCAGGAAGTGGGGTGCAAGGTTTTGGGAAGTATTTTGGGGGGAAAGACGCGTCCAAACAGCTCTTCCCCAGTAACCAGTATTAGTTTGGTGGTGGTAGCGGCCAATCCAAGGACGACGGGTGGAATATTTTGTACCTTGGGGAAGTTTTGACCTAAGCTGGTAAAGATAAGCTTAGGAGGTTTTTCATGCAGGTCCCCACATCTGTACCCTAGAGTTCAGAGTGGGGGAGGAACCTTGACAGCCCCCGATATCTAAGTCAAACTATGCCTATGGCCTGACCCACTGGGTACATGCTAGGTCAGGAATCCAATTGTGTTAGAATCTCATTTGTCTATAACCAAATTCAAACTGTGCTTAAGTAGGATTTAAATTCAGTTGTTTAGCCAGTAAAGATAGGGTCTAGTTTCATTTGCTTTCAGAGCTGCAAAGTTTGGACAACGTAAGTGGCTATAATAGAGAACAAGAGCCCAAAGAAAACTGTTCAGTAACACAAAGGATCAGACCAATAGACTTCAGTGAGGCTTAAATTCCTAAAGAGTAAAGAAGACTTTTATAAATGTATTTAGAAAGCTGAGCTACATTTACAAATGTCAATTGTAGTATGACAATATCCAAAATTTACAAAAACACAATTCAAATCCCTCCTAAAAATTCACCATTGCTGCCTTGCCAGTCAGAAGTTAGAGGGAGGAAAATTAACAACAAAAAGTAGAATAAAATAAATTTAAATTTAATCAAGTCCTTTCTTTGCAGACCTGTGATCTTATTAATGCTACCCCAATCATGCCTCTTTCATCTTCCCTTTTAGATTTTTTACCCCCATCTGTTGCATCATTTTCTAATTTAGATTTCAAACTCTTCACTGGCTTTTGTGAGACACCCAGCACATTTCAGTGTACTCAAAATAATAATCTTATTTAAGTGGGTTAATTTAAAATTCCTTGACTTCTGTAGATTTTCATCAGTAATAATAAGGATTTAACCTAGATGGTGATGTTTGTGAGTTCTGTAGCCCGTGGCGGTTTCCAATTAAAGTTAAAATTAGCAGTGAAACACAGAAAAATTCTAAAATAAGATATTTAACAATGCTAATCAGAACAAATAAGTGTTTAAGTCTTAGATTTTCAAGGTCACCCAGGCTAGAGTGATTGAACTGACAATCAATTTTTAAACCACATGGGGATGAAGTGACTAAGGTTGCTATAGCCACATGTCATGTATGGAAAAATATACCCCTCGTGTCAAAGGCAGCATATGATGAAAGTAGTCCCATGATATAAGAAGTGGGCAGGGGGACTTGCAGTGAATTGGAGATTGATGAGGCTACAATTTTAGAAATGTTTGGTTGCTTAACACGAAGCCAGTGAAGTGACTGCAGGGAGATGATTTTCTGAAATCGTGGGTGTGTGTACATAATTACGTAGTGAAGGGTGCATTTCCAAAAATGGTGCAGATTTTCTTTGCTCTTTATCAGGCTTTTTTAACCACACATAGAGATCTCTATATTTTATACTACCATCTGTGCTAGTGAGTGATCTTATTGTGTGCATAGCGGTATCAGGATTACTTTGACAGATTATAGGGATACTGCAAGAAGAAGGATGGCAGAATGGATTAAACAGTGTATGTGTTTGCCAATTTAACATTATTATCTACATTCCTGGCTAAAATCAGGGCTTACATTAGCTAAAGATATCAGAAGCTTAATGGTCCGGGGGTCAGCATTTACTTAGCCCCTACTGCTAGACAAGGATAAAACTTTTTTTGAGTTTCGCTGATTGGGGAAATGTGCATTATTTTGACACAGCGAAGTTGGGATATGCTATAGGACAAAGATCTCCTCGTTAAAACGTGGATCATGCAAAATGGGTGGTAACCTGGGGAGGGAGCTGGATAGACTGGGGGTTATTATTATTGATTAAACACTTACAATGTACTTGCGCGCTGTACAAGGCACTGAGAAGTTAAGGCCAAACCCTCCCAGAAGATTTTACAATCTGAAGGACAAAAAGAACAAAATGCTCAGGGGGATGCAGACTATGCAATTAGCACAGATTGAGTGTCTGACGTGTGAGTTATTCAGAGCTTACTCCATCTCTAATGGGATGTTGGGGTGCAGAGGGCATTTGCCTGAGCTCAGTGTGTGAGCCGGATGATGGGGAAATTTGAATGAGGAGAGGGTGAGTTCCAGTGCGCTGGGTTTTGGAGATCACAGAACACCTAAAGGTAGCAAGACAGAGGGTAAAACCCCGCCGTGGACTTGTCCAACTGGATGTCTTGTGCCAAGAGAGTCATATCACATCCAGATAATGCCCTAACCCAGTGGCGGATTAATGATTTTGCCACCCCTAGGCCCTGAAATAATTGCCGCCACCCCCCCCAGCAGCTCCCCGCCTCCCTCCCCCTCAGCTCACCTCCGCATCCTCCCCTGAGCGCGCCGCCGGGCCCTGCTTCTCCCCGCTCCCTGCCAGTGCTTGTGCGAGAAACAGGTTCGCGAAGGAGGAAAGAAGAGGGGGGAACGCGGTGCACTCAGGAGAGGAGGCGGGGCCAGGGTGGGGATTTGGGAAAGGGACGGGGCAGGGAAGAGGTGGAGTTGGGGCGGGGACAGGGGCGCGAACTGGCACCAGGGGAAGCAGCCTCTGGCTGCTATTATAAATTTGCCAACCCTGCAATTTTGTCGGCCTAGAGGCGTGAATATGCCGCTGACCTAACCCTCACTCCCCCCTGCAACAGGGACTAAGGCAGTATTGGGCCAGCAGCAGCGAGACCTAAGGCTGGACACCTTGTGCTCTGACCTCTCCATCCCACTGGCTCCCCTTTGCCAACCACTTCCCCTCTCTTCCATCTCCCCGCCCCTCACAGATCCCCACAATGCCCAGCTCCTCTCCCTCCTCAAAGCTGCTCCGCCCCACAACACCCAGCTCCCCTCCAACCCCCACCCTGGCTCATCTCCTTTCCCCAGGTTCTTTCTCTTCTCCATCTCCCCTCCCCACCCAGCTCCCCTCTCTTCCTCCAGCTCCCCACCCCATCTGCCCTCCTCACCCCGCTCCCCTCTTCCCCCCAGCTCCCCACCCCCCCAGCTCCCCTCTCTTCCTCCAGCTCCCCACCCCATCTGCCCTCCTCACCCCGCTCCCCTCTTCCCCCAGCTCCCCACCCCCCCAGCTCCCCTCCCCACCCAGATCCCCTCTTCCTCCAGCTCCCCTCCCCACGCAGCTCCCCATCTCCCCTTCCCACCCTGCTCCCCTCTTCCTCCAGCTCCCCACCCCATCTGCCCTCCTCACCCCGCTCCCCTCTTCCCCCAGCTCCCCACCCCCCCCAGCTCCCCTCTCTTCCTCCAGCTCCCCTCCCCACGCAGCTCCCCACCCCCCATCTCCCCTTCCCACCCTGCTCCCCTCTTCCTCCAGCTCCCCTCCCCACCCCCCATCTCCCCTCCGCACCCCGCTCCCCTCTTCCTCCAGCTCCCCTCCCCATCCCCCATCTCCCCTCCGCACCCCGCTCCTCTCTTCCTCCAGCTCCCCACCCCACCCCGCATCTCCCCTCCCCACCCCGCTCCCCTCTTCCTCCAGCTCCCCTCCCCACCCCCCATCTCCCCTCCGCACCCCGCTCCCCTCTTCCTCCAGCTCCCCACCCCGCATCTCCCCTCCCCACCCCGCTCCTCTCTTCCTCCAGCTCCCCACCCCGCATCTCCCCTCCCCACCCCGCTTTTCTCTTCCTCCATCTCCCCACGCCCTCATCTCCCCTCCCCACTCCGCTCCTCTCTTCCTCCAGCTCCCCTCCCCACGCAGCTCCCCACCCCCCATCTCCCCTTCCCACCCCGCTCCCCTCTTCCTCCAGCTCCCCTCCCCACCCCCCATCTCCCCTCCGCACCCCGCTCCCCTCTTCCTCCAGCTCCCCTCCCCACCCCCCATCTCCCCTCCCCACCCCGCTCCTCTCTTCCCCCAGCTCCCCACCCCGCACAGCTCCTCTCCCACCCCAGGCTGCCCATAAGCGCCCAGCTGTCCCCGCCCCCTGGCACCTTTCCTCCCCACGTCCCTCGCGCCACCCTCCCCCGGCACGTGACGAGGGAGCGCTGACGCCGCGCCGTGCCCCGGGGGAGCGGCCACTGCACCAGAAGGAGGCGGCGGCGGCGGCGGCGGGAGCCGCCGTGCTGAGGCGGGAGCGGACTCGACGCCTACCTGGGTAAGGCGGCTCTGCGCAGGGGGCTACGGCGGGGCAGGGCGCGGCGGCGGCGGCGGCTCGGGGGCAGCCGGGGAGCGCGGGGACCCTGCGGGTGGCCCCGTTGGCTGGTGGGAGGCGGCTCCTCCCGGGGCGCCCCCTGGCTGGCCGCGGCGGGAGCGGGTCTCGGACGGTGCCCCCGAGTCCGTTCCTGGGGGAGCCTGGGCTCCGTGTGCCCCCCACCCCTGTGGGGCCCGAGGGCGGGGGTCCCAGGGGCTGCCATGCGGGGCCGAGCTGGGGAGCCGCCTGGGCCGCTGCTGGGACCAGCCGGTTGCGAGGATCCCGATAACGGGCAGTTACGGAATAACCTGCCCATACGGGAAGTTTCTTCCTGGCTCCTGCCAGCGGCTGGCTTGTGCCCGGAAGCGTGAAGGCACCGGTCCCTCCTGCGCTGTTGCCCAGGGGCCGCTAGACCTGTGCTGTGCGGGGCTGGCTTGTTCTGTCCCCCCAGACCTCCTGGGGTTGGGTGGGGGCAAAGCAAGTGACACCCGCTCTGCAGCCCCCTGCCTCCCCTGTACCGAGAAGCGGGCTGCCTAGCCCAGGCTGTGAAGCTGGCCGAGAAAGACTTCCGTGTGTTGAAAACGTGAAGTGTTGTTTGTGTGTGTGTGAGGGTCATTTCACAGGCTGTGCTCAGTACCGTTCGGTATGTTTTTCGTAGACCTTTGTGTATGTGTTTTTATACACTGCACATATATATGCTCACAAATGAGTCAACGGAGCTATGAATGTAATTTTGTTTCACCTGTTAAAACGACTCCTAAGGCTCAGATCAAAACAGCTTAAATGCTAATTGAGATGGTAGCCATTACTGTATTTTTCAGTTGTCCATGTTGAATGTGGACTCTTAACATGCCCTAAAATAGTTTGAATGTTGCTTGTTTGTATGATTTAATCATAGTGTGCAGACACAGATTTGCTCAGCTATTTATAGCTTATCATTCTACTCAACAACATAAAAGTGCACAGTGAAAGGCAAGGGACTGATGTTAGGCTGCGTGCTCATTAATATTTACGGTTGGTGAAAAGTGGCTTTTAAAAGTTGCTTTGACAATGATTTAAAATATACCATGTACTCAGAAGTCTCTAGGCTGAGTTAATAGACAATTATCAGGAAATTAGATGGTTACTTGTTATGCTTTTAATTTTTATGGAAGTCTAAACGCTTGGGGGGGGCTTATTCTGCTTGGGAATTACATTTGTTTCCTAATACTAATGATGGTTTATGTCTGAGGAAGGGGGTAGAGGATTAGATCTGTTTTTTAAAGGGCCTGCAAGTTCCTACTGTCCACATTAGCTGTTTGTGTTTCATATATATATGTGCATGCTAGCTTGAAATGATTTTGCCTAAAATTCTGTACAAATAAACTGATGCATGTTGTCAAGCAAAACTGTTCTGATGAACTTCAGTATCTGAAGTTCATTTCTAACAGGGCAGATGTGAGGGAAAATTGTCTTATAGAAAGTATGGACTTGGGAGATTCTGTGATGACCTACTCTGAAACTTTAAAAAAAGAAGTAGCTCTTTGGATATTGTAGAGGATTTCTTCAAATTCTGCTTCTAACATGAACACTTACAAAATGCAGAATATATTGCCGACTTCCTTTGTTATTTCCCTCAGTCTCTGAATCTATCGAAAAGCTTGAAAGAATGATCAGCTAATTTTTTGTTTTTAATCATGAAAAATAAGAAATAGTGCCTCATTGGAGAAATTTGAATAAAATACTAAATTCATCCTGATATAATAAGAATTACACAAAGGGTTTAATTCTGTCCCCAAACTAAGTATATCCTGGGACCATATTCAAGAAATGCTGTTGGAGCAAATATTTTTGAGGTGCTGAAAGGGCAAATTCAAGGGGAAAAACATCTACTATGTAGAGATAATTGGGTGGATTTTATATTTCATTTGGCCTTCAGTTGGTAAGAATTTGACAAATGTTCTCAAATATGGTTTCTGTGGCTGACTTTCTAGTTTGTGCAGCAATATCATTAATGTATTCATTGTAGCTGTAGGGAATAATGCTTTTCAATGAAATATCTATTGCAGAGGTGGTACAAGAACCAAACCATTGTTTCTGTGTGGATCACATAAACAGTGGCTATTGTTTGGTTTTAGTTTTTCATGGTTCAGTTAACCTTTTTGAGAGGTGAAATGTGTGAACCTCAGTTTCTTGACTGTATTGTAAATTAAAATGTCTTAACAGTAGTTCTTCAAAAATACTCCTAAAAATCTAAGTATTTGTAAAACCTTTTCTGATATTCCCCAAACAACTCTTGGGAAAGGAGTCCAGTTCATAGAAGCTTAGAAATGCAGTCAATACACAACTGCACTAACTGCTATGACAGCAACCCAGCAACCACACATGGGGAGATCTTTGTTCTTTGTGTAGCATAGTGCTGATATTTCAAGATGGGAGGTGCTGTGGAATCTGGGGAAGTAGCTGAGCTATATAGAGTACTTATTTCAGGCCTTATCTGAAAGTTGCACAGATTTAACTAAAGGTGTGGTTTAAAATCAGTTTAAACTTGTGCAAGTCTGTGTAGTCACACTTATTTTAGTTTGAGAGCCTTGTTTCAGTGTAGATTAAATTTTTTTTAGAGTTTTGCTAAACTGAAATAAACTACTATTAAACAATCTAAAAGTGTTTACATGCAAATTTATACCAATTTTAAGTAAACTGGTTTAAAAAAGAAACTTTAGTTATATTAGTGCAAATTTGTGCTTAGACAAGGCCCTAGATTTATGGATGAATCTCTTCTGGTAGGGGTATGTGTCTGATAGTGAGGGAATTGTCATCATAAACCCATTATTCCATTAAAATTGGAGAAGTCTTTATGAGAGAGAGACTAAATTTTGGACCTGAGGCCCCTGAATCATGGCTAGGAGAGGGCTTTTTTCCTTTCAGCAAGTCATAAAACCTACCCAATATTGAGTATGTCCTAACAGAATTTAACGGATTCACTATCACAACACAATCACTATCTCTGTGTTGAGAAGTGTTCCATTTCCCCCAGGAAATGGGTGACCTAAAAGATTCTCTGCATGAGTTCTTAATTTTAAAAATCTAACTTAATATATTTTAACTACTTCAGTTCCTGTTATATAGGTAGTATAATTGTATTCTGCATGGTACATCACTTTAGGATGGCACAAATGCCATGTAGAGTGCGGGAACTTAATTACTGCCAGACTGCAAGGATGTTGTCAGTCTTTTAAATGCACTCTGGCACCCAGGCTTTCTTTGACCAAAGAAACAAGTATAGATGCTGATCTCGGTCCTGTTGTCAATGGTGAATTTTCTTACTGACTACAGTGTGATCAGTGGGGATCCATTCAGTAACATTAATCTCGTGAATCGGATTTCCCGATACATTCAAATATCAAAGCCTACAGGTGTACATGTAGAGGAGGTTGCTTCAAGTAATACTTAAAACACATACACTGCACTTTCTTTCTGAGGATCTCAAAGCACTTTACCATAGTGGGAATGTATTATCATTTTACCGAGTATGGGTGGGGGTTGCGGGGAGGAACCGAGTGACAGAGAAGTTCAAAACTTGACCAACTATATCACTTTAGACAGTGACAAAGTCAGGAATAATTCAGGAACTCTTAACTCCATTCGTATATGCTCGCTTCTAGACTACACTAGCATTACTTGTTTGGAAAGGATAACTAAAATTTTATCATTGAGATTTGACAATACTTCCTTACATTGAAGTATCAGAAGATGGGCATTCAGATCCTTGGAAGGGCACAAATTAAATCAGAATCCTTTACTAAGGTAAGAATCCACTAGTGGTGCTACTATAGTTCAGAAAGTCTGTCTTCTGTGGTAGTGTTCATAAGAATGACTATATATACAATGTGTGGTTTCAGAGTAGCTGCCGTGTTAGTCTGTATTCGCAGAAAGAAAAGGACTACCAGTGGCACCTTAGAGACTAACCAATTTATTGAGCATAAGCTTTCATGAGCTACAGCTCACTTCATCGGATGCATTCAGTGGAAAAAACAGTGAGGAGATTTATATACACACAGAACATGAAAAAATGGGTGTTACACACTGTAAGGAGAGTGATGATAACACCCATTTTTTCATGTTCTGTGTGTATATAAATCTCCTCACTGTATTTTCCACTGAATGCATCCGATGAAGTGAGCTGTAGCTCACGAAAGCTTATGCTCAAATAAATTGGTTAGTCTCTAAGTGTATATATACAAAGAAGAGGAGTACTAGTGGCAATCTATTGCATTTTGGGTACGTGTGATAAAGAGCATTGAATTATTTTGATGTTGAGCATTCACAGGATCCACTCATCCTGTTGGTGGGAAACCGAGTTCCAGGCATCCCTATTGCCTTTCACTGTGACAGACAGAAATGGGTCTTACTCACTAGCTTGATCTTGACATGAGCATCTTATAAACCTGCATTAATGGCTCAGTCTAATATGGAATGCACTGATAATAATTAACATGATAATTTCCTTTTCTGTCTTGATAGTCCGTGGTACTCAGACTACTGCAGAAACCTTCATGGGGTGCTTAATGCAGGTCCTTTGACTTAAACATACTGCAATGTGAATGATGATGAGAGCTGCCATCCCTCTCCTTTCCTTAAGAAATGGGACATGAGACTCTGATACTGATAATAGAGTGGTGGGATTGAACTCTCTTCAGGATTGTTGACTTGTAGTTTGTCTCTGCTCCCATAATACTGTGAACTTTTTTTTTTTAAAGCAGGGACAGTAGCTTGTATCAGTTTCCATCTTGAAATAACGTTAAGCATTTTGGCTTCTTATGTGAAGTTTAGCTGTTTGTGATGGTGGGGTGCAACATAAAATGATAACAGCAGTTTCTGTCAGGTGTTACCTTGAAGCAGGGAGCAGCAGTTAGCTGCTGTGAAAGGGAGCAAGCAGTCAGCTTGGAAGAAGCACTAGGAACAGTAAGATTTAATAATTTTAAAAATGGAATATTCCTGTGAGAAGATTTTGAAATTGGGCTGAGGGTAAGAATTTGCTGGAAGCTGGGACAGGAAGCAAGATATTCCTTAAACATATGTAAGTCATAGCCAAAACACCAAGAATTCATAATGGAAGTCTGAAGCTGCAAGCAGAAGGGCAAAGAGGGGGAAAAAAATTACATGTGGAGATTGGAGCTGTGCAGCTGAGGAAAGGTAACAGGTGATCCGAGTTCCTTTGCTGTAAGACCTCTACTTTGATGGAATAGCATAAAAGCTATTCACTTTTTAATCAAAACCATATAATTTTGATAGAAACTTTAACACTGACACAGACATGTACTTTATAAGCAGAACATCTACACGCACAATCTTAGGCAGTATTTTTGTGCTCTTTTTCAGTTTTGTTTGCCTGAACATAATATCTTTTTATTCTGTCAAGTCCCCCAATAAAATCATAATTCTAAGTTTATGATGCTGTTTTTGCACTGGAAATGACTGTAATTAAAAAGTCACTCTCATGACATTTCAGGGTGAAGCAGAAGAAGGTGGATTGTAGAAAAAGATACTTGCTTAAGCACCAGTGGCTCCTTATGGACCTCACTACTATGAACTTAGCTCTTTCAACCACATTGGAAGTTTAATAGGAAATAAAGGTGCACAATACATTGAAGGATCAGAGTTACAATTAGCCAAACTGGCAAAGGGAAAAGGATTTGTGTTGTTTTGCTCATTAGAAGAGCCCGCTTCCCTTATTAAAATTTCCTATGTTTGCATAATTAGGCTCCAATCCTGCAGTCACGTCTGTATGGATGGACCCATGTCAGTGTAGAGTTGCATTGATTTCATTCTCTTACAGGGGTAAGCCCATGCAGTTCTGATTGCAGGCTTGGGGCTTTCAGGAGCTCAAAGTTTCTTAAAGAATTTCTATTCCCTAAGCAGTGTGTTCAATAAACTATACATTATTTTATACTTTTTACTTTTTAAAACAAGTATTTTAAAGAAGCTAGCATTGGTTTTTAGACTTTCTGCTCTCTTTTAATGTGTGTTAATCTTTGTCTAATGCTAATCTTAAAATTTCTTGTTACTAATTTTTTATGCGGTGGCCAGACTAAATTATCATCAGTTGCTCTTTGGAACTCAAATTGTCACTGGATTATGACTAATGCTATAACAGGACTATTAAACAGAGTGCAAGGGCAGATATATATTTGGTTATATTGCCTGGACTATGAGAGACTGAAAGCCCTTTCCAAATTTTCTGTAGAATACATGCATCAAATTAGATAGTTAAAAGAATTAAACATGAGAAAATAAAAAAAAAGGCTTATTGTTTGCTCATTACCCTCCTTCCACATTTCTTGTTGGTTCTGTCCTCTTACTCTATTTCCAGTGTTCTCTTGTTTGTTTTGTCCCCTTCCCTTCTAGCTCTATCTGGGTTGTGCCACACTGTCTTGTGAGGTAAGTAATTAGAGAGTGCTTTAAAAAATCCCAACAAATTAAATTGTGGATGTTTTTAACTGCTTCTAACTGGGCTAAAACCCAAAAACTAGATTGGGAATTTAAAATATCATTTAGAGAGAGATGAGCAAATAACAATCCTAATTAATGGTGTCATGGATGTTGGTAAAGCACACTTAAATCTGCAAGCAGGCCAGTTGCTCCATTATGAAAGCCTGAGTGGAGGCATTATGCTCTGCATGTGGAAGGGAGAGAGTTCCTTGTAGAGGGATCTATTTGGCCAATACAGAAGAGGTGTTAGTAGCCCTTGAATGGAGTATCATCAAGCCATCCTTGCAAGGATTGCTGGCCTGTCACAAGTTTGTTGGTGTGGGGGGAGAACGATTAAGGGGACTAATGAGTAATTCTGGGAACTCTGAAAGGGGCCTCAGAGGACTTCTTGGGACCAGAGAAAGGGCGGCAAAATAAGCAAACCAGCCCGTCTCCTTCTGAAGACTTAATTATAGGAGAAGTCGCACTGTTCCATGAAGAATTTTAAGCTTGTACGTAAGCAAGCGATTGACTCGAGCTAAAAAAACCACTGATCTTCTTTGCTAAGTAACAGAAACAATAGGCTTAATAGGTAGCTTGCAGATAGTAAGAGGGTCATGAGCATAGGAGGGTAGAAGTTGTGGCTAGGGTTGCCAATCCTTCTGGTTTCTCAGGGACTCTTCTGGAATCAAACTCTATCTCCTGGAGGCTACTGAAGCCAAACCAGGAGATTTTAGGTGCTAAAAGTCCGGCGGTGTAGTGGGGCAAAGGCAGGCTCCCTCCCTGCCCTGGCTCCACACCGCTCACGGAAGCAGCCCGCATGTCCCTGCGGCCCCTTGAGGGCCCAGGGGATCTCCATGTGTTCTCTTCTCCTCCTCTTCCCCCCCCCCCCCCGTGCCAACTCTGCAGCTCCAATTGGCCGGGAACCGTGGCCAGTGGGAGCTGTGGGGGTGGTGCCTGTGGGCGGTGCCGGTGTGTGGAGACCTCCTGGCCCCCCTCTCTATGAGCCGCTGCCAGAGGGATGTGCTGGTTGCTTTTGGGAGCCACGAGAGGTAAGCACCGCCTGGCCGGAGCCCTCACCCCCTCCTGCCCCAGCCCAGAGCCTGCACCCCAACCCCTCCCAAGAGCCTGCACCCCCTCCTGCCCCCCAACCCCCTGCCCCAACCTGGTGAAAGTGTGGGAGGGTGAGGGAGAGCAAGCAACAGAGGGAGGTGGGATGGAGTGAGTGGGGGGCATGGCCTTTGAGAAGGGGTGGGGCGGGGGGGGGCAAGGGTGTTTGGGTTTGTGCAATTACAGTTGGCAATCCTAGAGATCATGGTTTCCATTGTTTTACTTTCATAAATAGGGTCTCAGATATGATCTTAGTTTTCTTATCAAACTGTTACTACTTGTCGAAAGACTTAGATAATTAATGCAATATGTGGTATTAATTTTGAAACCACTTTTTCCTCAGACATTTTAGGCAATTGACTTTTGTTTTTGTTTTTCTTATAGCTCTATGGATACAAACAGAAAAAACAAGTCATGATGTGCCTTACCTTTCGCCTGGAAAGGTGAATATCTCTTTCAGATAGAGATGGCTGACAAAGCTGGAAAGATCCTCCCAGGACCACTGTACATTGAAGTAGAGTATGATTATGAGTATGAGGCAAAGGATAAAAAGATTGTGATAAAACAAGGGGAGAGATACATTTTAGTGAAAAAGACTAATGATGATTGGTGGCAAGTCAAAAGGGATGAAAATTCCAAGCCCTTCTATGTGCCAGCACAGTATGTGAAAGAAGTAACACGAAAAGCACTAATGCCACCTGTTAAACAATCAGGTGGTCTGCCAAATAGCTCTTTGAAACTGATGCATAGTTTACAGAAGTCGACAGAAAATGTGAACAAGTCTCCAGAGCTTTCTAGTTTTGGAAAATCCTCTCCAGTTCAAGTGTCTGGTCTGGTTCGTGATGCCAATCAGAATCTGGGCCCAGATAGTAGCCCAGGTCAAAATCTTGGCCTGAGCCTGGACCTTGCCCAAAATAATGGAAAACTTAACAGTGAGTTGCAGTCCCCAAAGGTTTCCAGCCAGTACAGGTCTCTGTGTGTGGGCCATTTCACTTGTCCAGAACTCATGGAAATAGAGAAGACCAGCTTCTCACATGAACAGTCCTGTGATTCAGCAGGGGAAAGCTCAGAAAAAGTCCATCAGGATTCAGAATCTGGAGATGAACTCAGTAGCAGCTCCACAGAACAAGTGCAGGTAAGCTTGAAAAGGGTCTAAGTGGATTTTTTTTTTCTTTCTCGATTATACATCTTTGATGTAGTTTACTACGGTTTTTAGTTTGCTTCCTAAGTAGAAAGAATAAGAAGATTAAGGTGAAATCTTCATTTCATATTTTTCATCTCATCTAGCATGGCATTGATTTGTCAAGTAAGAAAAACTGGCACGTAGAATTTATTTGTAACAAAAAGTACTTTGCTTTGTGCTCTTATTCTCATTTACAGTGTCCTTGGATATGAATGGCATAGAAGAACTTCAATTAGAACTATTTTTTTCAGTGTTAAACGTGTAATTAGAGATAATGTGAATTTAAGCAGTTCTTAGTGACTCTTTCCTAGAGGAAGCAAGCCCAGTGTTGTTGTTTTAAACTTCTGGGATCACTGAACTTTTTAATCCAGATGCATGTGATTGTCAATAGCCACTGCCATCGATTTCTTATGTATATTGCATGTTGGTAATTTGTGAAGTATGGATAGGTGAATGTAATCAATAGCTTAGTGGATATGAAATGGTACTGTTAATGTTGACAGTGTGAAAATATCTCAAGAACATTTCTATCTAGCTTTGAAATTAACTAATGGAAACTGACATATTTGAGTTTTAATTCAGAGATATGCTGAGCTGTGAAAGAAGTAATGGTGGTAAGGGTGGTTTCTTACCAAAGCCAGTTAGTGACAGCTTTAAAAAAATTCTCTTTAGGCTAAAATAGCAAACCCTGGTATCTTGCCTACCTTTGGTTATCTTAGTAGAGTCTGTGTTGGCTTACTAGGGAATGGGCTGGGGAGATCACCAGTTTCTTTCCCATAAGGGCTAGAGAGCCATTGACTGGTAATGGCATTTTGACACTATAGTTCTAGACCAGGGATCTCAAACTCAAATCACCATGAGGATTAGTACATTGGCCCGAGGGCCACATCACTGAAACCTTTTCATACAATGATATAACATTATAGTCAAAAATGAAAAAAAGAAGAGTAATATAGTATGCTATTAAAATCAATATATTAACTTTTTAAAAACTGAAGAAGTACTTGTGGCACCTTAGAGACTAACCAATTTATTTGAGCATAAGCTTTCGTGAGCTACAGCTCACTTCATCAGATGCATACTGTGGAAAGTGTAGAAGATCTTTTTATATACACGCAAAGCATGAAAAAATACCTCCTCCCACCCCACTCTCCTGCTGCTAATAGCTTATCTAAAGTGATCACTCTCCTTACAATGTATATGATGGAAATGGCCCAACTTGATTATCATACACATTGTAAGGAGAGTGATCACTTTAGATAAGCTATTAGCAGCAGGAGAGTGGGGTGGGAGGAGGTATTTTTTCATGCTTTGCGTGTATATAAAAAGATCTTCTACACTTTCCACAGTATGCATCCAATGAAGTGAGCTGTAGCTCAAGAAAGCTTATGCTCAAATAAATTGGTTAGTCTCTAAGGTGCCACAAGTACTCCTTTTCTTTTTGCGAATACAGACGAACACGGCTGTTACTCTGAAACCTGTTTTTAAAAACTGTAATGCGAAGAGGGGTTTTAATAAAATATAAACACCTGTAACTATTCCTTATATGGTCAGTAACACTGATGATGATCTACACTAACAGTCTATCAACATAGCTGTAATGGCAGGAACTTTTTAAAGTAACTATTCATACAAAATACGTTGCCACTTTTAACAAACATTCTTCCCAACTACTCACAGCAAAGAATCGTACATGCTGAATTTCATACCTCAGACTGCTTGTCTAGTCCATGAGCCCCCACCTCTTTCCACCCCTTCCACAAACCCCCAGCCTCGCCTCTTCTCTGCCTGCTCTCCTGAGTGCGCTGCATCCCTGCTGCTCTCCCCTCCCTCCTGGAAAGTCCTGAGCACCGCCTAACAGCTGTTTGGCAGCGGGAAGTGCTGGAAGGTAGGTGGAGTAGCAGGGATGTGGTGCACTCGGGGGGGAGAGGTGGGGGAAGGTGAGGGGAGTTTGATGGGCCGCAGGAAATAACTCCGCGGGCCGCGTGCTTGAGACCCTTGTTCTAGACCATTTTGAACCATTAACATAGAAATGTAAGGTTCTGCGTGCTTTTTCCAGTCTGAGAGGTCACTGTAAACAGTGATATACATTATCCCTCTAGTAAATTCTACATTTTCCCACTCTTGCTGTGATACTGTAGCTTCAGTACATACTGACAAACATTGATTATAGTAAGTCAATTTATCAGCACCTATTTAATACCCACAAATATTTTAGTTTAAGGATGGTATTCAAATAAGGGTAGACACTAATTTTAGAAATGAAATCTTGATTATATGGCTGTTTAGCTGGAATCAGTTGGATGAAAAGCCACAATTAAGGCAATTTTCTTTTAGGAAATTCCACAGCATAACTTGCAAAGCTTTGTTACACTGTTTGGTTAACAAGAACCAGTACAGTTGGCTACCTGGACCTTACACATGTACATTTGGATTAGTGGTACATTAGTCTAGTATCCTGACTGACAGTGGCCAGTACTAGATGCTTCAGAGGAATGTACAAGGAGCATTGTACTGGACAGTGTCTTAATAAATTGCCAAGTGGGATAGTGGCAATATTTTCTTAATCCCATTCAATGAGAGGTTGGCTTATGCATTGAATCATGAGTATTTGTATCCCCTAAAACTTTAACCAATAAAATATAACAGTGGGTGTTCTTGTTATATGTATAATCCTTTTTGATCCTACTAGTCGCCTCATCTCAAAGATACATTAGAATTGGAAAAGATAGAGAAGGGCAACAAAAATGATTAGGGGTATGGAACAGCTTTGGTATGAGGAGAGATTAAAAAACCTGGGACTTTTCAGTTTGGAAAAGAGATGACTAAAAGGGGTATGATAGAGGTCTATATAATCTTGACTGGTGTGAAGAAAGTGAATAAGGAACTATTATTTACTCCTTCACATAACACACAAATTAGGGGTCACCCAATGAAATTAATAGGCAGTAGGTTTAAAACAAACAAGTAGTTCTTCACACAACACACAATTATCCTTTGGAACTCATTGCCAGGGGATGTTGTGAAAGACAGACAAAACTAAAGCAGGGTTCAAAAAAGAACTAGATAAATTCATGGAGGATAAGTCAAGCCATGGTTGTTAGCCAGGATGATCAGGGATGCAACCCCATGCTGTGAGTGTCCACAGCTTCAGCTTGCCAGAAGCTGGAAGTGGATGATAGGGGAGGGATCACTTGATGACTGTCTGCCTGCTCTGTTCATTCCCTCTGAAGCACCTGGCACTGGCCACTGTCGGAAGACAGGATACTGGGCTAGATGGACCATTGGTATGACCCTGGATGGCTGTTCTTATGTACAAAACTGTTGGCCTCTGTTTTGAGGCATTGTGTTCTATGGGTTATGGTTGTCTCTTTTTTTTTTTTTTTAATTAAGGTGGCTGCCTTTCATTTTCATTGACCCTTTTCCTTGCATAATGAGAAGGGATAAATAGGATCACTGGATTTATTTTCTCCATATTGTAAATTTTTTATATATTGCTACTATGTCCTCATTTATTTAGCCTTTGAACTGTCACACTTCTCCAGGTTTTTTTTTTAAAGTGTGATCTTTTAAAGCAACATGTTTTATCCACTGCAAACTGAGAGCAAACTGTACCACAGAGAACTAGTAAGGATGAAATGTATATTTAACTGCTCTTTCAGCATTGGCAAAATATTTAGTGGCCCATCAGCTGTTGATATAATGACTTCCAAATTCATGACCAGGATGAGAGAACCCTTTTTAAAAGGGTACTCTAGTTAAAACACTTTTTTTGGTGCTTTCTATATTGCTTTATACAATCCTACTAAAATGGGAAGAAACATCATATTAGAAGCAGCAAATCCAGTCAATTCCATTTGTAGTACAACTAGATGCTGTTAGCATTGCATGGCTGATCATGTTGTCACACTTATTTATGTTTACAGTTTAGTCTTCAGCTAATTTTGGCAATATTAGTAACAAACAAATACTTTTTCAGTGAACTGAATATGCTAATCTTCATACATTTCTGAGGCGTTGGAGAGGAAAAAGGCCAATGTCATGGATACTTCTAGTATCCACTGTGTTTGGTGATGGAAATCTTCATGGTGTTAAAAATGGTGTGACTTTTATGATTTCAGCTGTGAAAAAACATGGTTATGGTTTATTAATATTGCTGTGGAGCTGTCTTTTACTCTCATTGCCTTAGGAAACAAGCAAGCAAATATTCAATGTGGTTTGCGATTTTCTTTTTTAAAGCAGTGGAGTAACTTAATCTCATCATATGGAATCACAATCTCATTAAATATAATTTTAAATATTTGACATTTATGAGCCAAAGGGTTTAAAGCAGTGGTAGTGTTGATGTCATTGTTACTGTGTTGGCTTGGTTTAGATATTAGAAATGCCAGCCTTCTCCACTGGAATGTCCCTCATGCTTTCAATAATCAGCATTGTTCAGCAGAAGTCAGCTGTGCAGAAATTAATGGCTTAGAAAGCTGTTTTTATTGCTCTGTCTGTAGTCAGAACATGAAGTTCCAAATCTGCATACACAAATGCTTATTTTAATTTCACAAGGCAAGCCGAATCCTTTCTTTTTCATTGTGGAGTCCAGTGTTACGCAGTCTGTATCATAATAAACTTTGCAGTACTATCAGAAGTTCACATTTATCTCCTTAGATTGATTGATTCAACTTTTAGCCAAAAGCAAGAACGGTTTTATTGAAATTGTTAAAATGTACCATGCTTGTTGTCTTAAAAGATCTATGGTTTAATTATTGTCTGTAATGAGGGATTTGGGATTTTAAGATTTTCTTCAGAAAAATTGAGAGAGGAATTTATCAGCAAATGTAAACCAAAGTTTCTAGGTATGTTTCTGAAACTGTTTTTCACAGGTCTTAGAGTGCACCATTTCTGTAATGGTTTTAGGAAGGGATGTGTATGAGCTTGGGTGAGATGGGTATAGCCTGCTT